TGTGAAAATTAAAAAACATACTCCTAAATAACTGAGAAGTCAAAGAAGAAATCACAAGAGAAATTCAGTCACACTTGGAAACGAATAAAAATGAAAACACAACATGCCAAAATATAGAATGCAGCTAAAATAGTACTTAGAGGGAATTTATAGAAATATAAATTTGAAATTCAAATTCTATCAATTAAACAATCAATAACTCTTTAGATTTAGTAGAAAATCCTAAAGAATCCACTAAAAATCTGTTAGAACTAGCAAACTATTTCAGCAAGATTGCAGGATACAAGATCAACATACAAAGGTCAATATACAAAGATTATAATTTTAGACACTTGCAATGAGCAATCCAAAAATAAAATTAAAAAACAATTCCATTTATGATGTTATCAAAAATAATTAAAAGAATAGGAATAAATTTAACAAAAGAAGTACAAACCTTATAGTCTGAAAACTAGAAAATATATTTGAAAGGAATTAAAGAAGATCTAAATAGAAGAAATCCTATGTATATGGATTGGAAGACTGAACGTTGTTAAGATGACAGTACGCCCCCAATTAATCTACAGATATGATACAATTCCTATTAGAATCCCAGTTGACTTCTTTATAGAAACTGTCAAGCTGATTCTAAAATATGTCGAGAGATATTAATAGCCAAAACAATCATGAAAAGGAAGAACAAAGTACAATAGCTCACACTTCCCAATTTCAAAACCTACTACAAAGCAATGGTTATCAAGACAGCATAGTACTGGCATAAGAATAGACATGTAGATCAATGGAGTAGAACCGAGAGTACAGACATCGGTCCTACATTTATGGTCCACTGAGTTTTGACAAGAGTGCCATGATTATCCATTGGGGAAAGAAGAGTCCCTCCAACAAATATTGCTGGGACACCCGGATAGTTACAAACAAAAGAATGAAGTTTACACTGTGTAAAAAACTAACTTAAAATAGATGAAAGACCTAAATGTAATAGTTACAACTATAAGACTCTTAGAAGAAAACACAGCTGGTAGGTAAATCTTCATGACCTTGGATTTGGCAAAGCATTCTTAGACACGATACCAAAAGCATAAGTAACAAAAGGAAAGATAGATAAATTGGACTTAATCAAAATTAAAAACTTTTGTTCCTCAAAGGACACCAACTAGGAAGTGAAAGGCAACCCACAGAATGGGGGAAATATTTGCAAGTCGTATATCTGATAAGGGACATGTACCTAGAATATATAAAGAACTCTTACAACTCAGTAATAAAAGACAAGTAACTCAATTAAGAAATCGGACCTAAATAGGCATCTCTCCAAAGAAGATCTACAAATGTCCAATAAACACATGAAAAGATGCTCAGCATTATTAGTTATCAGAGAAATTCAAACCAAAATCTTTTTGAGATATCACTTTAAACCCGGTAGGATGGCTTGAATCAAAAAGCCAGATAATAACAAGTATCTTTGAGGTTGTGGAGAAATCAGAACCTTTATATACTGCTGTTGGGAATGTAAAATGGTACAACTGCTGGCAGTTCCTCAGATGATTAAACATAGAGTTACCAGGTGACCCAGGAGCTCCACCCAAGAGAAATGAAAACACATATCCACATAAAAACTTGTACATAAAATTTTACATTATTTTTAGTTGACACATAATAATTGTACATATTTATGGGGTAGTGCGAGATTTCAATACATGTATACAATATATGTGCAATGATCAAATCAGGGTAATTAGCGTGTCCATCACCTCAAACATTTATTATTTCTTTGTTTTGGAAACATTCAAAATCCTCTCTTCTAGCTATTTGAAAATAAGCAACAAAGTATTGTGAACTATAGTCACCCTACAGTGCTATAGGACACTAAAACCTATTCCTCCTATGTTGCCGTACTTTCGTATCCATTAACCAATCTCTCCTTATTCCCCTCTCTTCCCACATTTTTAGCCTGAGTAATCACTATTGTACTCCTTATTTCTATATGAACTTTTTAAAGATTCCATCCAACCCCATTGGAAATGAGGAAAAACAAACAAACAAAAAAAATTAAGATTCCATATGAGTGACAATATGTGTGACTTATCTTTTTTGCCTGGTTTATTTCACTTACTAACATAATCGTGGCTATACTAATTTATGTTCCCACCAACAGTGTATAAGAACTCCCTTTCTCCACATCCTTTCTGGCATTTGCTATTTTTTGTCTTTTTGATAATTGCCATTCTAACTAGGGTGAGATGATATCTCATTGCGGTTTTGATTTGCATTTCCCTGATAAGTGATGTTGAGCATTTTTTCATATGCTTCTTGACCATTTGTATGTCTTTTTTTTTTTTCTTTTCTTTTTTTTTTTTTTGAGACGGAGTCTCGCTCTGCCGCCCAGGCTGGAGTGCAGTGGCTGGATCTCAGCTCACTGCAAGCTCCGCCTCCCGGGTTCACGCCATTCTCCTGCCTCAGCCTCCCGAGTAGCTGGGACTACAGGCGCCCGCCACCTCGCCCGGCTAGTTTTTTGTATTTTTTAGTAGAGACGGGGTTTCACCGTGTCAGCCAGGATGGTCTCGATCTCCTGACCTCTTGATCCGCCCGTCTCGGCCTCCCAAAGTGCTGGGATTACAGGCTTGAGCCACCGCGCCCGGCCCATTTGTATGTCTTTTTTGAGAAATGTTCAGATCCTTTAAAAAATCAGATTACTATTATTTTTTTGTTGAGTTGTTTGAATTCCTTGTGTATTCTGCATATTAATTCTTTGTTGGATGAATAGTTTGCAGATAATTTCTCCTATTCTGTAGATGGACTATTCATTCTGTTGATGGTTTCCTTTGCTGTGCAGAAGCTTTTTAGTTTGACAGAATTTCATTTATCTATTTTTACTTTTGTTGTCTGTACTTTTGAGGTCTTATCCATAAAATCTTTGCCCAGATGAAGGTCCTGAAACATTTTCCGTTATCTTCTGGTAGTTTCTTAGTTTTGATCTTACATTAAAGTCTTTAATCCATTTTGAGTTGCTTTTTGTATATAGTGAGAGATAGGGGTCTAGTTTCATTTCTCTGCATCTGGATATCTAGTTTTCTCAGCACTATTTGTTAAAGAGACTGTTCTTTCCCCAAAGTATGTTTCTGTTGCTTTTGTTGAAAATCAGTTGGCTGTAAATATTTGGATTTATTTCTGGGCTCTCTATTCTGTTCCATTGGTCTGTGTGTCTGTTTTTATGTCAGTACCATGCCATTTTGATTATTATAGTTTTGTACCATATCTTGAAGTCAGGTAGTATGATGCCTCCAGCTTTGTTCTTTTTGCTCAGGAGTGGTTTAGCTATTCAGGGTCCTTGGTGGTTCCATATAAATTTTAAGATTGTATGTTCTTGTATGTGAATTTTTATAGCAGCATTATTCATAATAGCTGAAAGATAGAAACAACTCAAATGTCTATCAGCTGACAAATGGATAAATAAAATGTACTACATACTATAATGGAACATTATTAAACCATAAAAAGAAATAAAGTACAGATAAATGCTACAACTTGCGTAAACCTTGAAAATATGCTAAGTGAAAGAATCCAGTCACAAAAGTCTACATATTACATGATTTTATTTATAAGAAAGTCCAGAATAGGGAAATATATGAAGACAGAATGCAGAATAGTGATTGCTTTGGGCTGCAGGAGAGATAGCAGCCCCAAGGGAGGGTTATAACTAAAAGACATGTCACCTTTTTTGAAGTGATGAAACTGTTCTAAAATTGGTGATGGTTGCACATATCTGTGAATTAAATCTGTTGTATACTCTAAATAGGTGAATTGTATGATATTAAGTTATAGCTCAGTAAAGCTGTTTTTGTTTTTTTTTTTTTTTAAGATATCAAATCTACAATCTCATCTTCCATCTTAAAGTAGAAAAAGAAGAACAAGGCCGGGTGCGATGGCTCACGCTTGTAATCCCAGCACTTTGGGAGGCTGAGGTGGGTGGATCACTTGAGGTCAGGAGTTTGAGACCAGCCTGGCCAACATGGTGAAACCCCTTCTCTACTAAATGTACAAAAATTAGCCAGGTGTGGTGGTGCACTCCTGTAATCCCAGCTGCTTGGGAGGCTGAGGCAGGAGAATTGCTTGAACCCAGGAGGGAGGCAGAAGTTGCAGAAAGCCAAGATCTCCACTGCACTCCAGCCTGGGTGACAGTGTGAGACTCCATTTCCAAAAAAAAAAAAAAAAAAAAAGAAAAAAGAAAAAGAAGAACAAATGAAACCCAACATAAACAGAAAGAAAAAAACTAGAGTGGCGATAATGAAATAGAGAATAGAAAAACCGTAAAGAAAATCAACAAAGCTCAGGCACGGTGGCTCGCACCTGTAATCCCAGCACTTTGGGAGGCTGAGGCGGATGGATCACAAGGTCAGGAGATTGAGACCATCCTGAACAACACGGTAAAACCCCATCTCTACTAAAATACAAAAAAAAAAAAAAAAAAAAAAAAAATTAGCTGGGCATGGTGGTGCACGCCTGTAGTCCCAGCTACTCGAGAGGCTGAGGTGGGAATAGTTTGGACCCGGGAGACAGAGGTTGCAGTGAGCCGAGATCGTGGCACTGCACTCCAGCCTGGCAACAGAGCAAGACTCCATCTCAAAAAAAAAAAAAAAAAAAAAAATCAACAAAACTAGATGCTGGTTCTTAGAAAATACCAACAAAATTGAATGAAAAAGTAACTGATAGGAAGTCAAATAAGAATAATAAGAATTATTATTCTTTAGAGACATGGTCTTATTTTATTGCTTAGACTGGAGTGCAATTGTGCAATCATAGTTCACTGCAGCCTTGAACTCCTGGGCTCAAATGATCCTCCCACCTCAGCTTCCTGAATACCTGGGACTATAGGTGTGTATCACCACACTTGGCTAATTTTTAAGTTTTTAGTAGAGATTGGGTCTTGCTATGTTGTCCAGGCTAGTCTCGAACTCCAGATCTTCAGCAGTCCTCATGCTTCAGCCTCCCAAAGTGCTGGTATTATAGGTGTGAGCCACTGTACCTGACCAAATAATTATTTGTGTATTTGGGAAACTGGATTTGAGACCTAAATCTGCTACTACATTTCTGATGTGAGTTTGAGAATTTCCCTTAACCTTCTTAGGTTTCACTTCCTTATCTTTAAAATTAAAGTGATTCATATGGATTCAATAAAATCTATTTCAACAAATTTAGCATTTGCAAGTTCCTACCATTAAGAAGATATAATTCCTGTTGTGTCAGATGTGAAATTATTCTGTTTTGCAAACTGACCTAAGCCAATTTGGCTATTGTCAACAGACAGATTCTCTCAGTAAGTGTTGGTACCTGTGATCATTAGGGGTGGATGGAAGCTGTATCTCCTTTGCTACAACCTTGCTACCCAGAGCTATTTTTTGATAAAACCTAGCTTTGAATCAAATTTTTGCCTCAGATACAAATATCTATTGTTCCGCAAGCGCAAAAACAATTATATAGCCAGTACATATAAACACAGTGAAGTCCTCATTCTCTCTCCTTTTAGGTTTCTGAGCAAGATGCTTGCATGAAAGATTCAATCTAATGCCAATGCAAAAATATTGTGAAAGCAGCAGGATCAGCTAGGCTTCCAGTTGGGTAAGGCAATCAAATTCTTTGTTTTGATGTAGGTAGGGGGAATCATAGCATTGAATGCACTTCTATTTCTAGAGTCAACTCTAAAGATGTTAAGCTGCTAGTCTTGGCTGATTCTTATATCCCATTCATCAAAGGGCAGAAGTGTCTGCACAATTTGTTAAGCTAACTACACATCAAGAATATCACTCATTTCACCAATGAAACGTTATATCTAACCTTGTGTCAGCTATCTGTTGCCACAATGATACTGTATAACAAACAACCAGAAAGCCTTAGTGCATAAAAAATAAAGTTTATTGCTCAAGTGCTTGAGTTCAGTGGAGGGTCAGTTAAGCAGCTCATCTGATCTTGCCTGAGTTTGCTTATATATTTGGGGGTCAGTTGGCTGTTGGCTGGGGCTACTGGGGCAGCATAGTTTTGTTCCATGTGCCTGTCATCCTCCAGAAGACTATGCAGGGCATGTTCTCATGGTGATAACAGAGATGCAAGACCAAATAAGCTCAATCAGCAAGCTCTTTCCAAGTGTGTGCTGATGTCACATCTGCTAACATCCTATTGGCCAAAGTAAATTACATGACTGGGCTAGAGTTAAGGGGTGGGCAAACACACTCTCCATAGTGGGAGGGCACTGGTGTTCTCACTGTGTTATTCTTCTCTGTAATGTTGCTTGTTTCTGTTTTTGAATTAGGTATAGAATTAAAAAAACCCAAGATAAAAGCGGTGAATATCATGTTGCTTTCATTTTACGAGGTCTGTGGCTGTGAATTAACACATGCCATGAGTTCATATGTCAGAAAACTGCTTTAGTGTTGTGTTCTAGTCATTAGTGTCCATGGAGGAAATATTTATCTACTGTTACACATCTTTATCAGCAGTGTTAGATACCATGGTTTAAATGGTACTGGAAAATGGTTTTTTAATCTGGCTTATCTTTTGAGGCTCTCAGTCTTCAAATAGTGAGTCTTGCTGGGGTCTATTAACTAGGCCAAATCAAGAACCCTTCGCTAACCTGTGAAGCTGGAGAATAGAAATGGAGAAAGTTGAACATCATATAAGCTAATTTTTGTATTGTCCACTTGGTGGTAGAATTGTTTTCAGATAGTGTGAAGAGTAATGAGCCAAGTAAAAGAGAAATAGAATTTTATGAATTCTAAGCCAGGAGAAAAATGCAGCGTGTGTTTTAAATAGGTATTCTAATCAGCATTATTACTTTTACTAAAGTACAAAAGATAGTGTAATCCAGGGTAGGTGTGTTTATGTAATAAGTTTTAAATGTGTTTAATTTTTTTTAAGGAGTAGTGATAATTCTATTTCCCAACACATCAAATGAATCTACTTGCTTACTGGTTAGAGTTCAGTGCTCAGAAATATAGATTTTAGAGATTATCTTAATTTGGGTATTCCTTAGCACTATTTAATCTTTTTTTTCTCCTTTTAAAATTAGAAAAGTTCTTGTATGAAATAACACTACTCTTACAACGTTATATAAGTCCTTCGCACTCAAAGTATGCTGGGAGTTCAAGATCAGCCTGGGCAATATGGCGAAACCCTGTCTCTACAAAAAAAAAAAAATAAAAAAATAAATTAGCCAGGCATGGTGGTGCACACCTGAGGCAGGAGGATTGATTGAGCCTGGGAGGTCGAGGCTGTAGTGAGCCATGATCATGCCATTGCACTCCAGCCTGGGCGACAGAACAAGACCCTGTCTCAACAAAACCTCCAAAACAAAAAACAAAAAACAAAGTGTGGTCAGCAACATTGGTATCACTTGGGAGCTTGTTAAAAACATGGGGAATCTTGGCCTTCACTCCACACCTACTGAAACAGACTGAAATTTAACAAGGATGATCCCCAGGTGATTCGAGTATAGTTTTACATGCACTGTTCTCCACTGGTGGAATGCAAACAGTGGATGATGAGGTACAAAGGGAAGAAAAGTGGGACAGATATCAGGACTGGAACCATTTAACAGGTATTCATGGATCTGTTCTGAACTTTCAATCGCCCATGCTCCAGCACTGGAGATTGTGTTTAAGAAGCCACCTGTAGTTCTTTTAGATTCTAAAAGAAAGAAGGCAGAGTGTGTCACTAATTCATCAACTTATCAATCAATCATCAAAATACAGGAGATTCTGTTTTGGCCTAGCCAGCCACTGATGGTGTGACATTTGATAGGGCATTAATCTCTAAGTCTTTAGCATCCTTATCTGGAAGCAATGAGATGGTTGGGCAAGTTCATCCCTTTCAGCTTTTTGGAAGATGCTATGCTTTTAGGCAGAGTTGATAGTCAACGGGTAAACACAGATGGCCCTGTCCCCATCTTTAGATTGGGTTTTGTTTGGAGTGGCTGGTGCCGGTGACCTACTGGTAGTTAGGTGGTTTGAATATTTTTCCAAACAATGATTATAGGGGAACTTTCCAGGTGCAGTGGCTCTGCCTGTAAGCCTAGCACTTTGGGAGGCCAAGATGGGAGGACTGTTTGAGCCCTGAAGTTTGAGACCAGCCTGGGAAACATAGCAAGACTCTGTCTCTATCAAAAAAATTTTTTCAGGCTTGGTGCAGTGGCTCACACTTGTAATTTCAGCCCTTTGGGAGGCTGAGGTGGGCAAATCACTTGAGCCCAGGAGTTTGAGATCAGCCTGGGCAACATGGTGAAATCCCATCTCCACTAAAAACACAAAAATTAGGCAGGTGTGATGGCATGTGTCTGTAAACCCAGCAACTCGGGAGGCTGAAATGAGGGGATTGCTTAAGCCTGGGAGGTTGAGGCTGCAGTGAGCTGTGATCATGCCACTGCACATCAGCCTGGGCGACAGCGAGGCTCTGTCTAAAAACATCTTTTTTTCTAAATTTAAAAAATAATTATAGCGGAGCTAAGTGTCAGGGACTGTTAGGGACTAAGTAGTACCATCATAGGTTCTAGAGTACTTGCTTGTCTTGGACTCAGATACATGTCTATGTAGAACTGAGGTATCAGAAAGTTGAATTAGGCAGAGCAGAGAATGGAAGGTACATAGGCTTTAGTGTCAGTCTTGGGTTTCTATGCTAGTTCTGTTGTTTGCTAGTTATATGGTTTTGAGTACATTACCTAAAATCATGTAGTATCTTTTTTTAGGCTATAACATGAGATTAACATAATAATAACATGTACTTCCAAGTAAAATTGCAAGGAATTAATAAGAGAATTTATGTAGAGGGTCTCACAAGTGGTTGATGCTCAGTAGATGTTAGTTTCCTTTTCACTTGTGTGTCCATACCCAAATAGCTTGTATGTAGAGCTTTACTTCTGCAAACTTCTATAAGGTGATGCAGCAAATGAACAAAGACACCAGGTACCTTAATAAATTACAAAAAAAAGCATAACTAATCGTTAGAGCAATTCTAGTTGGTGTGGAGGGAGGTTATACATCCACCTGAAACTCTTGCCAAAATGAAAGTTGGACTTTCTTCTTTCAGCCAGTGATCTTTCAACATTTTTGCTTGCAAGCTCTCTTCAAGCATTTTGAAAAAAACAAACACAAAAATAGCTATGTATTCCACATACATCTTAAAGTTGACATCTAAAATTTGTCATCATAAGTTTTTGCAAAGGATGTGATTTCTGGCATAATATAAATATTACCATTTGAAAATAAAACTATTGTTTATCTATCATAGATTAGAATATTTAAAGTAAGAAGCACCCTGGGTACTCATCTACAAGGTGGACCATTATGAAATTTTACAGTTCTTAGTGAGAAACAGCTTGGTGAGGACTTGCTTTCCCCAGCATCTCATTCTGTGCCTGGGTGCTCCTATAGCTTTATTTCAAGGAAGAGAAGGTGAAAAGTTACATATTTATTCCTGACAGTTCAACATTGCATCTTTGAATAAAAGCTGGGGTTGGCGAACTCTTCTATTTTTTTGAGGAGGAGTCTCGCTTTTGTCACCCAGGCTGGAGTGCAATGGCGCGATCTCAGCTTACTGCAACCTCCGCCTGTCAGGTTCAAGCGATTCTCCTGCCTCAGCCTCCCGAGTAGCTAGGATTACAGGTGCCTGCCACCACACCCGGCTAATTTTTTTGTATTTTTAGTAGAGACGGGGTTTCACCATGTTGGCCAGGCTGGTCTCAAACTCCTGACCTCAGATGATCTGCCTGCCTCTGCCTCACAAAGTGCTGGGATTACAGGTGTAAGCCACTGCACTCGGCTGGCAAACTTTTTCTTAAAGGACAAAATAGTACACACTTTAGGCTTTGAGGGTCATACAGTCTCTGTTGTAATTAATCAGCTCTCCCATTGCAGTTTGAATGCGGCCACAGGCAATACATAAATGAACGAACAGGCCTGTGTTCCAATAAAACTACATACTCTTTTAGCAGTCACTCCTCATCTCCCTCATCACACTCATAACCCCCATCTCCCATCCTCTGCCCCCATCCCTAGGCAACCACTTATCTACTTTCTGTCTCTGTGGATTTGCCTATGCTGGACTTTTGGAAACCTACTTAGAACTCACTCTGGTGATTTTGTAAAAACCCAATTCTCTATATTAAATCTGTTTTTGCTTAAAATGCCTTGAGCGGTTTCTGTTTCTTGTACTGAACCCTAACTGGTTCAGAGTTAAAGGAGAAAAACGAAGAATTTTCAACTTTTAAAGAAGAGCTATGTTTTTGTTTTTTTTCTTCGAGAGGGAGTCTTGCTCTGTTGCCCAGGCTGGAGTGCAGTGGCATGATCTTGGCTCACTGCAACCTCTGCTTCCTGGGTTGAAGTGATTATCCTGCCTCATCCTCCTGAGTAGCTGGGATTACAGGCATGTGCCACCACTCCCAGCTAATATTTATTTATTTATTTATTTATTTTTGAGATGGAGTCTCCCTCTGTCGCCCAGACTGGAGTGCAGTGGTGTGATCTTGGCTCACTGCAACCTTCACCTCCCAGGTTCAAGCTATTTTCCTGCCTCAGCTTCCTGAGTAGCTGGGATTATAGGCATGTGCCATGAAGCCCAGCTAATTTTTGTAT